TATATATATATATATATATATATATTAAAGTATGTAGATAAATAAAAAAAAAAAAATAGCCGGTCGTATTTACATTTATGTAATGAAATAAATAAAAATATCAGTTACTCGCGATAAGCGTTGAAGAAAATGAATAATTGATGAATATTCAAAGAAATTTAATTATTGAAGAAATGATGATTAGGTGTAGAAAAAATTAAAAAAATTATAATAATTAGTTTATAGAGGAAAATATGTATACACTTACAATACTCTAAAGTATACTAACTTTAGATGTAAGATTGTAATTTGTATTGGACCTTTTCCCAGTGTTATTTTTAGTTTATAAATAATTATTTTATTTGGTTAAATAAAATTAATTATTATTATTAAATTAGTACGTTGCGGTCTCGTGAGAACGGAAATCAATAGATTAAAAACTCCGAGCTGTGGTTTGTTTTATTAAAATTGCTTTCGACATTATTAAGCATAAAAAAAAGTATACGAAACACATACTAATAAAAAGTATACGATTTAAATATTATAAATAAATTAGTACAAAATTTTGCGATAAATTTTAAATGTTTAGACTAAAATCCACAGCAGGAAGAAATAGAAAAAATGTTTTTATAAATCTAACCAGGTCTTAATTGGTACAAACGATACCAACTCTTGCCTTCAAAGCTCTCTATCTATTTTTTATCAAAAGTAATGTTTAAAAAAAATCATTAACCAATAGTAATTGTTAATAACATTTAAAAAAAAATAAATAAATAATTTCCAGAGTACAAATTATAATTGGAAAGATTAACGGGTAGTAAAAATTATAATAAAGTATTTAACAGTGTGGAATAAAAATATATTAAATATACGAGCGAATCAGTTAAATATAAATAATAAAATAAAAAGTACCGATGAAAGTTTTTAATGAATAATAAATAGCTTAAACGAAACAATAGTGATCCAACGAAATAGTCGTAATACTTGAGTCAATTTAAATCTGCAATATTTTTTTGTTAATACAGATGAGGAATAATATATACATAAAATATTTTTTTACATATTAAATGTCACTGCATAATATAATAAATAAAAATAATGAAACTATTTCTTCTCGTCAGCAATAGTCAGTTCATATTTTTTAATCAGTATACAGTATTGCAATAGTTTTATATATATTTATAGTCGGTTATATAAAAAAAAAAAAGATTAAATAAATAAACTACAACACTCAGGTACTTATCAAACGTTCTTATAAACTCAGGAAATATAAGTATACAGTGATATAAATATTTAACAGTTAATGTTAATCGTCTCAGCCATTTTTGTTTTGATAATTAATAAATATATTTCTTGTTCAATTTTTTTTATTTATAATTATAATAAACAAATAGTTATCAATATACACAGGATTACCAGGGATTAAAATAGTTGAAACATATTAAATATATATTAATATATCACCACAGCTACCTCCGTAATATATATTTTTAAAAGTATATTTTTCTTTCCACTAATCATTAAATAAAATCAAACACTTTTACAGTCACAAATATAAATCAACATTATTACCTTATTTTTTTATATTAATTAATAATGTTTGATGATTATATTTATATATATTTATAAAATATAACTTCCACTGACCATAGTCAATCAGATACTTCCAATAATTTCATAAATAATCGAGTATTTCTTCTTTTAAAAATTTTTTAAAAGAAAATTTTTTATGAAGAAATAATAAATAAATTTCTATGAGTGAAAATTTTTTAAATTCCCACTGCCAGCTCGATTATTTATCAAAAACAAAACAGTAATAATATTTTATTCCAAAATAACAATGCAATACAATGTACTTACACATGTGTGTGAAGATAACTCATCGAATGATTAAATATTTAATTACAAATAATTAAACATAAGGTTTTAATAATATAAGAATGATTTGCCGTACGGAACCGTGAGTGCGATATCGAACCATCATTCATTTTAATAAATATTATTATTATTATTGAATTAATAATTAATAAATAAACCAATGGAGTGTGTGTATGAGAGAAATTAAAAACCAGTATGCAATTAAGTAATCATTTGCATAATAATTATACTTAATATTAAAGGATAAGAAGAAACAATAAAATAAGATAAAAATAAAAAAAACAATATATGTATATAAGCTATACGATTATAATTAGTTATTGATATACTTACACTGATTACGTGATATTTATATGAGAAAACATAATCAGGGATAGGTAGTTGCGAATTATTTGCATTTGATTGGTTTTTATAAATTCTTGGTTTTGATCTTTGAATTTGTGGGATAGGAGTTTAAGTGCAATCTGATGACCAACATTTTTAAATTTATTATTATCACAGGTGCGTTGTTGAAAAATTTTTCATGTAAAAATAATTGGTCACGTTTTTTGTACGTATTTTGAAAATTCAATCTTATCAACTAAGGTGCTTCATTAGATTGTTATTATTATTATTATTATTATTATTATTATTATTATTGTTTCAATTAATTGTACCGCCGTAATTGTAATTAATTATTAGGTTTTTGTTTTATTATTATTATTTTTTAATTATTAACTAAGTTTCATTTTTGTTTGATAATTTCATTTCTTCTTTATCATTTATCATTATCTTTATAAAGTCAGTAACAATTATTTAAGGCTTTCACTGAGTTTTTAAATTTTATTCGAAATTTTTCATGTAAATATTTTAATACCTATTTATCTTACTCTAATGTTTTTTTTTTTTTTAATAATAATAACAAGTATGTACTATTTCTTAATATGTTTACTACCTCTGTTTATATTTTTTATTATTATTCTTTATACTAAACAAAATTTTCTTTACTTATTAATTAATTAATTAATTAATTATTATTGTTTTTTTTTGCCATTAATGTGTATAAGCCATCCAACTTGCCAATATTATACAATAAATACGTTGGAAAAAATTATTTTTATTTTTATTATTTTCCTTTTTTTTTTACAAAGCAGACATTGGAATATTTTTTAAATATTTCTTCTCTAAAAAATTTATTTTCAATTATTTTTATTTAAAAAATTTTAATGTTAGAACAGTATTGACTAGCAATATTTGCAAGAAGACAACTTAAACAATAGAAAAATACAACGTCCTAATATACTTATAAGACAATGTAATAATTAATAATTAAACAATGAAATTTATTACGAATTATATTAAAAATTAAGAGTTGCCTATTGTTAAAATTATTAATATTTATAAATAAAAAAAAAAAACAATAACGGTTTAATTGTATGAATGCAAGTAATTGAACTGAAATATTTATTATTAACTAAAGAAGAAAAATAGTGCAGCGTTTAATAATTAATAATTTGTTGCAATTACTATGTATTAGATTTATTGTCGATTGTGGGGTCATAAGTAATTTATTTAAATAAATATTATTATTAAAAATAGATTAAGAGGGCCCTTGCTTGATTGGGAGCTCGTGAACCAGGGCCGGGTGCCTTTAACGGCCTGTTTGTATGCAAAACTTGTAATTATTATTAACTATCACTATTATCAATTTAAATTTTTGGTTAAAATTCACAATATTTAACAAGAAGAAATAAAAAAAAATATTTATAAAGAATATAGACAGATGTTTTAAATAAATATATATTTAAAGTAAAAAAAAAATAAGTAGAGTATACGACAGGCGATCACAGTTCCTATTTTATCGCTTCCCCACAATTAGTTTGTAAGAAAAATAATTTACTATACACAATTTATTATATTAATAAAAAATAATAAATATATATACACAAATATCATCTTCTTTTTTGTATTTCTTCACAAAATTACATCCTTATGTTCTCTGAAGAAATAAAAACTGTCATTAAAAATTTTTCCGCCAATATTTAAACTTCAAAAAAATCCCGCCAGAGGCGCTAGTGTATTTTAAACCGTGACTGTATAATTGGAGATTTTTTACATTCCATTGACAAGAAGGCTGAGTATATCACTATTGGCCAGGTGCACGATGGTGCTGCCCCCATTTTTCATGCTTTTCCTGTGTTAAATCAAACGGAGTAATTTAGTTCCAGTGGTCGCCATTAGCGTTAAATCATGCTCTTCCCATAAGATTTACACGTAAAAGAGGTAGTCAGCGCCAGCCCTTTCCACCATATACTTCGCACCCGGCCAATTCGGGATTTTTCAATTATTGAACACCAAATAGCCAGTAATTCTCCATTGAGTGACCATGATACCCCGTCAATGCTGAATAATTTATCGCAGATCAATCTCTGTAATGAATAAAAATAAAAATTCAATTTTTTCCGCTGAAATTGACATTCGAAATTTTTTTAATAATTTTTGAGCAATTAAATTAATAAAAAAAATTTTATAAAAAAATTCTAAATGTGAAAATTAAAAAAAAATTGTAATTGAAAATTTTTTTAATTCTTTTTTATTAAAATTAAGAATAAAAAATAAATACATAATCCTAAATTTATACTCCACGGCACCACACGTGATCGTAAAAAAAAAAAATTAATTTGTATTAAAAAAAAAATATTTAATAAATAAAAATGCAAGTAAAAACAAATTATATATCATGTGCGTTAAATCGTGGGCCTCACGCAATAGATTGGTGCCGAAATAATAACATTATTTGTTACGCGAGTTTCAATTCCGTCGTAATATACGATCTAGATTATTTAGAAACTGGCCGAGTAATTGACAAACTTGAAAAGCATGAGAGTCGAGTTAAAGTAGTTAATTGGATCTGTAAAAATAATAGTGATGATTGCTCAGCACCTAAAATTTTATCAGCTTCAGAGGATGGTACAATTATAATCTGGGATATGAATCTGTCACAAAAGATTATAAGCCAAGTATTATTGTTTACTTAAACAGTATTTTGGAAACAGCACATGCAGCTTATTGTCCTAATCCTAATTCCTCAACAAGTAAGAATAATGATAGTTTATTGATAACTGGATCATCATGTAACTGCGAGTTTAAAATATATGGTACTGAAAATCAGAAATACTTATTGACCAGAAATTGGATTTAAAAAAAAAATTAGTAAGTGAAATAAAAATATCATCATTTCCAGGTGACAAGCCAATTCCAGTGATAATAATTTGTCTTGAAAAAGTAACAATTGATCTTTACACTTGTAATTCCAGCTGGCTGAATAAAAATAGCCCAGAATTAAATTTCAATCATACAATTGAGTTACACGGCCCTCAAGACTGGATTAAATTAAGTGTCTTGATATTGTTAAATATAATTCCAATGAAGCTTTTATGGCCAGTGGTTCTCGAGACGGCACCATAAGACTCTGGAAAATCTCATCAATCCCTCCAGAAGCTGTTGATGATGAGCAACCGTATCAATTCAAGGTAGATGACAATAATTTTAATATTTCTTTAGCCTGACAATAAAAATCATTTGAAGCTATACTCTCAAGCGGGTCGAACCAAACAATTATCATTTTGGAGCCGAGTCCCAGTGGTGTTTGGATTGAAACAGTTAAACTGGGCAAAGTCAGTGGTAATTCTCTAGGTTTTTACGGATGCAAATTTAACTCTGACGGATCTTCAGAGTACTAGCCCAGGGTTACGAAGGTACCATCCATCTGTGGAGATACAATATGATGCTCTTCCCAAATCATGCTCTTCCCATTAGATTTACACGTAAAAGTGGTAGTCAGCGTCAGCCCTCCCCACCATATACTTTGCACCCTGCCAATATTGTGCAACTAGTGCGACAAGTTGTCGATTGCCCACGAAAGCGAAGTTGAACGTACGAGCGTAGCGAGTAAAATTGTAAAAAAGTTTGGAAAATCCAAAAGTGCACGCCTCATAACACTCATTCATTTTTTAAGAAAAAATAAATTGTGTAATTGATTAAAAAAGAAAAAAAAATTATGATTAAGTAATTTCTTACAGGGAATTTTTTGTTTTTTTTTTAAATATCAGCGCCCTTTATTCTTGTCATATGCGCACGCAGTCTAAAAAAATCTAGCTTGATCAAGTGGCGCCATAGTTTTCACGTGACAAATAAGAAAAGTTCGTTTGTCTTTGCACGGTTGTATCGTAGTGAATTTTAATAAAAATTCAATTTAAAAAAAAAATACGTAAACTAGGCTACTGATATGAAATTCGGACCCAGTTCATCGCATTCTTAAACTAATAAAAAAAGTCCGGTCTTGAAATATCAATTTGTTCGGGAGTAATCGTTGGTACATCCAAAATGGGGTGACATCCGGACGTCCACGTAAAATTTTTTTCAAAACATTTTTTTTTTTAAAATACCTACATGAAATGATTTTAGAAAGTAAAAGATGGTTTAATTTAAGTGTTTTCTCGGTGTATATCTACTTATATTATTGTATGTGTAATATGGTTGTGATAGAGACATTTAAAAAAGATCCCAAAATTGCTTGACCTTGACGAGTCAAGTATAAAGCACAACCTCACGCGCTTGGCGCTATGAGGCGTGCAAAAAGCGTGGGGTGTCAATAGTTATAAATAAAAAAGAATATATAATATAATAGAAAAAAATAAAACATTTTTTTCTCGTTTACACTATTATTAATTTGTATTTATTAAAATTTTTTACACTACTCTTAATTCAAGTTTATGAAAGTTTTTTTTTCTATTTTTTAGTTTGGTTTATTTATAAAAATGTGTTTTTTTAAGTTTTTTTAAACTATTATTTGTTTTGTTGAATTAAAAATTCTCTTTGATATTCAAAAATTTGTTAATATTAGATTAATCGACTAAAGATAATGGTTGGAAATTAAAATTAACATCAATTCCTGCCTTATCGATTATAGATGAAAATTATATAAATTTTAACAAAAATTTTATTTTATATTGCAAATTGAAAAATTGAATAATCTTATCAAATTAGTGTATTATCATCGGTCCTCGACACATCTACAAAGTTTGAACGAAATCTGGCCGTTTAAAATGGGTCAAAATCGCCCCCAAAGGAGTCGGTTACAAAAATACAAACAAACAAACATACAGGTGAAGCTAATAAAAAGCGTGTAATAATAATAATAATAATAATAATAAAAATGACCGATTTTGGCCGAAATTTTTTTTATCCGTGACTGTAATAGAGACACGGATTTATTTTCTTTTTCCGTTGAAATTTCCGTGGCTCTAATAAAATCCTTATAATTATCCATGTCTGCAACTTAAATATGGGCAATGACACGGAATAAAAAAAAATTTATCTGTGAATTTGCTATTATCTGTAAATTTAGTTACATCCACGAGTGCAAATAATTTTCCTTTTGTGTTTAATGTATGTTCCATGACCCTTATTTCATCCACAAATTTCATCCGTGGAACGTGTCAATAGACACTCCGATTTTAAATATTTGACCGCCATTACTCGTGAGCGCATCACGTACGCAATTGCACGACAGTGGTGTAGGTGAACTGATTATTCTGTACGTCGGTGGGTAGGGGTGTAGCGTCATAAGAAAGTAAGGGTAAGCTGAAACAAGTGGGAGTTGATAAGAAGAGTCGGCGCGGGGGCCGAAGCGTGGAGGGTGAAATACGCGTGCGCAAGATCGGTACACATCTTAAGCCGATAGCCGATAGTCACCAGCTGTGTAAGCTACCACACGGTTCCTCGTTGTCTCGATTCTGTATGGTAGTAAATACCAATACTTAGATTACTCCAGAAGTAATAAATCAAAACATCAACCGTGAGTGCTGGATAAAAATAAAGATGACGTTTAAGTTTATCGACATATTTTATCAAGTAAAATAATAAGTGTAGTGAAATTATTACAAGTAAAATAAAAAACGAGTTTCTGGTATTTTTCGTATTGTCAATACGAAGTATAATAATAAAATAACAGGTCGGTGGTATGTAAGACCAAATGTTTGTCCTTGTGAGAGTGTATGGTTAAATCACCTTGGGTGACTAACTCGTTCCCACGATCTCTGGATAGAAACCAAACCACGATCCTGGCTTTAAGAAAAATTTAAATATGACAACGAGGGAGCTTTACGTAAAGGTAATTTTTTAAATATTTTTTTCTTGACCCAATTAAAATTAATGATACTGAAGTTAGCTGACAACTGTCAATTTTTTTAATTCTTGTAACAAATCAATTACAATAATAATAATTTCTATTAATAATTTTTTATTAATTTTGACAAGTGGAATTTTTTTCATAATATTTTAATTGCTATGAAGTAATTAAAAAATTATTTTCTGTCAACTTCACCGTTGAAATAAAAATTAAATGAGTGTTTTTAATAGAATTTTTAATCAGACGTAATTTAATTTTATTTTTTATTTTAGGTATTAATGACTCGTAGGTCATTTTTTTAAAACGCACTGACATCATCGATACCAATATAAATGAAATAGTTTTTTTTTAATTACTGTAGATAAGACTGCCGAATCGTCTAGCCGAGTATTATTATGAATATATGAACTAGTTTCACAAGATAAATTTTTTATGTACCTTTCTCCGACATTTGATTGGTATATTTCGAAAGGGTTGACCGAGGTCACACGTACGTGCATACAGTACACACACTTGCTGAGAAGTGTCTTGTTACAATTGAATTTTTATTTTATGTTTATACGGCTTTATTCGCTACTATTACTATTATTCACACATTTGATTAAATATTTTATTTTTATTTTTATTTTTTGTCACTCAGAGAGCCGGAGTTTCAAATAATAAGGCGTGTTTAATAATCAGCGAAACATCCTTCGATAAGAAAAAACATATGAATATGAATCATCAGTTATCACTAGGTTGATAAAAATATAATTTAATATTTTTTTGACGTCCGCATTGTAATTGAGAGTGAGAGTTTGTTTATTGTACAATGAAGTAACAGATTGAAAGTAGTGAAAAAGAAGACAATGAAAAAGAAATCAGAGAAAATAATTATAATTATTAAATTAATGTTATTGTGGTAAATAATTAATTCACTTTTATTTTTATCGGGAAAAATTTTTTCAGAGCTAAATTTGTTTTTTATTAAACACGTGTACAAATATCTACAATGTTTAATTGATTTATGAATGGAGTAATACAATAGATTTATATTTATGAGGTAAATTTTAAAGAAAAATTGACGGACAGTGGAAAATAATGATAAATTGTGACAATTATTGTAACGTAAGAGTATTGCGTAATGTGAAAATGAAATGAAATCTTACAAAAGTCGCAACATATGGAGATAGATGTATAATCTAAACTTGAACGTTGATATTTCATAGGTTAAAGAAGATTTAAGTGGCCGTATCGTAAATAATAACTTAGCGAGTATTTATAGTATGTAATTATCAGTAGACCATAAAATAGTTTGTTTCCTAATTAATTGAATTAACTTGAATAATGAATGGTGATACCAGAGACTGTGGTGACTAGAGCGGAAAATGAAAACAAATCGCGTATAATATAATAAAGGGAAAAAATGAGATATTGTAAAGATGGTTGGGTTGTTGTTTTTTACTCGGAATTCCCACAGTCTGCCCTGAAATTCTTGCTGACGAATGCGGAACAAGATGATACTTTTCATTTAAAAACTCTCTCTCTTCTTATTTTTCTCTTTGTTTAGTGGTGTTATACCGTTACCGGGAGACTCTGAGGCTCCCTCACTCGTGACTTTATTGTAAATCCGTTAGACATAGGTCAAGTTGATAAAAAAATGAAAGTTTTTTTTTTTTTTTTTTTTTCTATTTATTTTATCCAATTTTTTAAAATGATAGATTTAAATAATAATAAAAACTAGTAACCTTGCAGTCACTGTGTTACTACCGTGACTTGTAAACTATAAATAAATAAAATTTTGCTTTATTAACTAATAACTTTTGTTAAATTGCATTGTACTTTTTTAAATATTGATGTTTTTATAAAAATATGAGCTCATCCCGATGTTACACTCATCAAGAGCTTTCATTTGAGTACCCGCATGCATTTTTATATATTTTTCATATATACATATATATATATATAAATATATAAAATATATGAAAAATTGATGTGGGTACTCAAATGAAAAGTCTCGATGAGTGTAATGTCGGGGTGAGCTTATGTCTTTAAAATGTCAATAGTTCACAATAAGCACAAAATATACAAGGTCATTTCTTCTTAATTATGTATCTAGAGATAGAGCATTTTCGAATGCAGCCTAAATACTTATCATAATAAATTGACTATCGGTGAAAATGATATGAAACCTTGAAAAGGCACAAATTCAAGTCATAATATAGATTAATAAATTTATTTCAGGGCGCCAAAGTATGGATTCAGCATCCAGAAAAAATATGGGAAGGTGCAATACTATTAGACGACTACAAATCGACCGACACAAGCATAAAACTGCAAATAGATGACACTCGAGAGCAGCGTGTAGTAGAAGTTAAAACCGACAAGGAACTTCCACCACTTCGGAACCCAGATATACTGATAGGAGAAAACAACCTGACATCACTTTCTTTTCTCCATGAGCCAGCAGTCCTCTATAACTTACAAGTCCGTTTCCAGCGACGATGCATTTACACCTACTGCGGGATTGTCCTCGTGGCTTTTAACCCCTACGACGAGCTTCCAATTTACGGCAATGACACAATTTGGGCGTACCGCGGTCAAGCGATGGGAGACCTCGAGCCCCATATCTTCGCAGTGGCCGAAGAAGCGTACACCAAATTGGAGCGTGAGCTCCACGACCAATCAATCATCGTCTCCGGAGAGTCAGGAGCTGGTAAAACGGTGTCTGCTAAATATGCCATGCGTTACTTTGCAACAGTGGGTGGCTCATCTACCGAGACGCAAATTGAGAAGAAAGTCCTCGCGTCCTCGCCGCTGATGGAGGCATTTGGCAACGCCAAGACCACGAGAAACGACAACTCCTCCAGGTTTGGAAAATTTATAGAAATACAATTTAACAAAAATTACCACATTACAGGCGCAAGCATCCGTACGTACTTGTTAGAAAAGTCACGTGTTGTTTTCCAAGCACACCAAGAACGTAATTACCACATATTTTATCAACTGTGCGCCGCAGCGACGTCTCCTCCCCAAGCCAGTCCTTCAGACGTCTCAGCGAGGCTGAAGAACCTACAATTGGACAAGGGAAGCAGTTTCCACTACCTAAATCAGGGTAATTGCTTTACAATCGACAACTTGGACGATTCGCGCACCTTCCAAGACACTTTATCAGCAATGACCCGTCTGGGGTTTGAGTCTAAGCAACAAGAAGAAGTATTCAAAATTCTAGCCGCTATTTTACATCTAGGAAACGTCGAAATAGTCCAGGATTCCCGCGCGTCTGAAGGTGGGGACAGTGAAGCCTGCATGATAGCCTCTGGAGACAGACACCTGACCATTCTGGCCCAGCTGATGGGTATAGACCCCTCCGGTATGCGCAAATGGCTCTGTCATCGCAAGATCGTGTCAATGAGAGACGTAATTCTGAAGCCTATGAACGTCGAGCAGGCAATCGGAGCTCGGGACGCTTTGGCCAAACACATCTACGCCGAGTTGTTCAACTTTATTGTCCATGGGATAAATGAGTCGCTGCGTAGCAAAGTAAAGGCTTCTTTGTCTTTCATCGGCGTGCTGGATATTTACGGGTTTGAAACCTTTGAAATAAATTCCTTCGAGCAATTCTGCATAAACTACGCCAACGAGAAGCTTCAGCAGCAATTTAACCAGCATGTGTTCAAACTTGAACAAGAGGAGTACTTGAAGGAAGAAATTGAATGGACTTTTATAGATTTTTACGACAATCAGCCGTGTATAGATTTAATAGAAACCAAGCTAGGTATTTTGGACTTGCTAGATGAAGAGTGTCGTATGCCACGAGGCTCTGATGACTCCTGGGCCGAGAAACTTTACTCTAAATGCGTTAAATCTAAGCACTTTGAGCGACCACGCTTCGGGACCAATGCATTTCTGATTCATCACTTCGCAGACCTGGTTGAGTATTCGACGATTGGCTTTTTGGACAAAAACCGTGACACTGTTATGGAAGAACAGATCGACGTGTTACGTTCAAGCGACAATAAACTACTGAAACAGCTGTTTAATGATGACCCTCCAAAATTGTCAGTCCCCAGTGGTCAATCTAAAATAAAAATATCCGCCCAAAAGCCTTTGGCAAACGCCGCGCCTAAGCAAAACAAAAAAACAGTCGGCTCGCAGTTCCGAGACTCGTTGAACATGCTGATGTCGACGCTCAACGCAACGACTCCTCACTATGTTCGTTGTATCAAGCCCAATGATTCCAAAGAGTCCTTCGAGTATGATGCGCAGCGCGCGATACAACAATTACGAGCTTGCGGAGTTTTGGAAACAATTAGAATTTCAGCAGCGGGTTTTCCCAGCCAGAGGACCTACGCAGACTTTTTCTCGCGGTACAGATGCCTGTGTCCGTTCAAAGAGATCCTGAGAGAGGATTTAAAGGAAACATGTCGGCGTATTTTGAAGTATTATATAAAAGACGAGGATAAATTTAAATTCGGTAAGACTAAAGTACTTTTCAGAGCCGGACAGGTTGCTTATTTGGAAAAACTGAGAAGTGAGAAGCAAAAAGACGCCTGCAGGATGATACAGAAGCGTGTCAGAGGTTTTATAATCCGCAGACGCTACCAGGAGATTAGAAAAGCTGTGCTGGGACTGCAGCGACACGCCAGAGGATACTTGGCACGTGTTAAGGCCCAGAGAATTAGACGTGAGCGCGCTGCGGTGAAGATACAAACTAGTATTCGTGGGTGGGTCGCTCGTACAAGGTACCTCAGAGTCAGACGGACGATAATTAGCCTCCAAAGGTACGCGCGTGGATTACTTGCGCGAAAAAAGTATGCGATTATGAAGGACAACGCAGCTGCGACGACGATCCAGAGATTTGCCCGTGGGTATCTAGTTCGTGCTGCAGTCAAGCAGAAAATTAATAATATTATTATTGTACAGTGCTGTGTGCGCAAGTACTTGGCTCGGAGAATCTTCAGAAGACTCAAGGCCGAAGCCAAGAGCGTCGAACATGTAAAGACTCTGAACAAGGGCCTGGAGAAGAAGATCATATCGATGCAGCACAGAATAAACGAGATCTTGAAAGAGAACCAGGCTTTGCGTGTGGTTCAGACCGAGGTTGTGGATTTAAAGGTTAAGCTGGAGGCTATGAAGGCTGTCGAGTTGGAGAACAAGAAACTTGTGGGTGTACTCGTCGAGAAGGATCGTGAGTTGGAGCTGATGGCAGAGACGGTAAAGCGCGAGCAAGATGAAAAGATGGATCTTTTGTTGGAGCGTGAGAAGCTGATCAAGGAGAAGGAGGACGAGAACAAGCGGCTGAGTGAAGAGACCGAGAGGTTGAAGAGAGAGTTGGCGGTAGCCAGCGAGAAGCTCAAGATTGACCAACGTGGAGCTGAGGAGAATCTCAAACATCGGTTGGAGCAGGAGAAAGACCTGCTGCTCATGGATCACGATCAAGACCGTGGAGCCTACCAGAGGCTGCTTAAAGACTACCAGGACTTGGAAGAACATGTTGAAGTCCTGGAGCGCAAGCTGGCGTTGCACGCTCCTGGAGAAGGTCACTCTAGGTCCCTCAGCAACGCTTCCAGCGGCAGTGTAGGTCAGGCTGCCTCTACTGATGTTCCGGAGGAAAATATTGACTTTGGCTACGGCTCGGTCAGATCTACCGTGTCTTCGACGGCTTACTCGAGGGTGGAGACCATCGACTGGCACCAGAGACGCTCTGAAAGCCCACCTGATGGTGAAGCTCAGCCAAGCAAGCCAGTTGAGAATGGCAATGGCGGCCTGGTGGCTGCTCCAGTTGACATAGGGCTGGTGTTGAAGCTCCAGCAGAAGCTCAAGGACGTCGAGAGCTCTTATGGCCGGCTGGTCAGGACCATGGAGGACTTGGAGCGTGACAGTGGGGAAGATGCTCTCAGGACTCAGGATACCTTCAAGTTGGAGGAGTTGGAGATGGAGAATGCCCAGCTTAAGAAAGATCTCGGCACTTTGAGGAAAGCTGTCGTTGATGGTGATGTCAATTCAGCCCAGAAGGAACTCACCAGCCAGTTTGACGCGCTACAAGAAGAGCTAGAGCGTCGCAGGGAAGAATGCATTCAGCTACACAGTGTCCTTGCTGATAATACCAAGAGGATGAAGAGTCTCGGGTCTAATTATGGAAGGGATGTTGATATTATCAATGAGGATGGAGAACTGGCACTTGCTTTTGAAGCTCAGAAGAAAATTAATCGGTAATTATTGAGTGGTTTGGGGGTAGAGATTGTTTTTATTTATTATTGATTGGACTTTTTTCAGGCAATTGGAGGATGAACTTCAGACTAAAGAAAAGGGCTGGAGAGAACAACGAAATGAGTGGAGGAATGAAATTGATCGGTTGCAAGAAGAAATGCAGAAACTACAGAAATTGCTGAGTGTTAATTTGAGCAACACTCCTAAAACTCAAACTGAAGCTTTTATGCAACATGAAATTGTTAAAATTACGTCGGAATATTTGGTAAGTATTTTTAAAAATTTATAGATGAGTAATTGGGGTAGTATTTTATTTTATTTTATAATTTATTTTATTTGTCCAGGATTTGCAAGAAAAATACGACAAAGTAGCTGAAGAGTGCCAGAAGCTCAAAAAGCGATGTAGGATATTCGCAAAACGCCTCCGTGATGCTGGATGTAAGTTTTTTTTAAATATTTTTATATAGATAGTATTTTATATGATGAAGAAGAATTAATGTAATTGGTAAATAATATTTTGTAAAAATTAACGCTTACAAAGGCGAGGATAGTGAACCGAAACAATTACCAGAACCACCGAAACCTCGCGCTTTTATGATTACCGCTCCGGGTGAGTCAGTAAGAAAAATCATGTCCATCGCCATTCGCCATCGCCAAGTCTCAGAATATTATTATTATTATTATTATTATTATTATTATTATTATTCATAAATCGTTAATCGTCTCAGCCGTTCATTTGTTGGAGAATAAAATTTTTCTTTATTGCTGATGTTTATTAACTTTTATTTTTTTTTTAGTACCAGATACAGTAGATCCGGCGCCTAATCAATCAGTGATAACAAGTCAGCAATCAAATGGGACAGTAATGCCAGCAATTAGGAAGAAAGAACGAGATTACGAGGGGATGTTTGAGTTCCGAAAGGAAGATATTACTTCTATCATTCGTAATCTTGTCATAGGTAATTATACTAAAATTTTTTTTTAATTTATCAATTTCAAGAGTAAAAAATAAATGTTTTATTTTACATGAAATATTAACAAAAAAAATTTTATTTAAAAAAAAAAATTTATACTGTCTAATTTATTTATTTTCTTTTTCAATTTTATATTGTATTATTAATTTTTTTTTTTTAATGTTAAATTAAAAAAATTTTTGAACGTAAATTTAAAATTGTTAACATATGCATATTTTAATATTTAAAATTAATTTTTTAATTTTTTATTCTACAGAATTAAAACCAAAAGTAGCAGTAACTTTATTACCTGGATTACCAGCTTACATATTATTTATGTGCATCCGTCATACCGACTGCATAAATGACGACGATAAAGTAACATCACTGCTAACGGGTTACCTGAACGCGGTGAAACGAGTGATTAAAAAACGTGATGACTTTGATTCAACAGTCCTCTGGCTGTCGAACACTCTGAGAATCCTGCACAACTTGAAGCAGTACTCCGGGGACAAGCCTTTCCAAATGGAAAACACGGCCCGACAGAACGAGCAGTGTCTCAGAAACTTTGACCTCAGTGAGTACAGATCAGTCCTGAGCAACGTCGGAGTCTGGATATTTGGCCACGTGATGACCATTTTGAAAGAACGGATTCAAGCGCTGACAGTTCCAGCTCTGTTGGAGCACGAAGCGATAACAGGGCTCAACTCCAACAAGTCGGGTCGGCCACGGTCTTCTTCAGTTGGCGAGGAGCCAGAATCAACGCAGCAGAAATTAAATAAATTGCTGGACGAATTGGGTTTGATTCACAAAACTATGCAGTACCACGGCGTAGATAAAGATGTTATTGTTCAAATATTCAAGCAGTTGTTTTACTTTATGTGTGCTAGCGCGTTGAATAATTTACTGCTGAGGAACGAGTTGTGCCACTGGACCAAGGGGATGCAAATTAGGTACAATCTCAGTCACATTGAACAGTGGGCTCGCGATGAGCAGCTAGTCCCGGCGATTGAATCTTTGCAGCCGATCATCCAAGCTGCGCAGCTGCTCCAAGCTCGCAAGACTGATGAAGATGTCAATGCAGTGTGTGAAATGTGCAATAAATTAACATCTAATCAGATTATCAAAATTTTACATCTTTACACTCCAGCTGACGAGTATGAGACCAGAGTTCCAGTTACTTTTATTCAAAATGTACAAGAAAAATTGAAACAGAGACAAGAAAACAACGAACAGGTATTTTTTTATTTTATTTACTATGCTTGATTATAATACTAAGTTAGCCGACGATTTTAATTTTTTGATTTTTTTTTTTTAATAATTAAATTAGAACAAAAAAATATTTTTTAAAAATTGCACTTACAGTTTTTAAAGTTTTTTTACAAGTGAAAATTTTTTTTTTATTTTTTTGTAATCATTTCTTCAATAAAAAAAAATTCTAAAAATTTTTAGATGTCAACTAACTGAATTTTCATTGCTTGATTTGGTAATCGGAAAAAATTTTAAAGTTATGAAAAATTCATATTATTTCATTAAAATTATTGTGAAATAAATAAATAAATTATAAATTTATTAAATTATTATTATTGTTATATATTATGAATTTTTCATAACAAAAATTGTTTCCGGGTCTATTTTTTCCGATTACCATTTTTTTTATTAACTACGCTTGATTTAATTGTAGAAAAATATTTTTTATAATTTTATTTAATTTTTTCAGCTTTTAATGGACCTAAAGTTTTCATTCCCAATAAGATTTCCATTTAATCCCTCGAATATAAGATTGGAGGACATCGAAATACCACCGGCGCTTAATTTACCTATGCTTAAGAAAATTTAAATTATTTTAATGATATAGGTAAATTATTTATATAAATAGAATTAATTTAAATTGTGCAATTAATTGCACATTTTGTACAATTTTATTTTATTTTTTACTTTTACTATTTATTGTACTTAATATTTATTTCAAAATCACTTGTTATTATATCAATTAATTATTACAACTTATCATTAATTTAAATAATTTAATTAATGAGTGATAAAAATGTGATTGAAGTGGAGATAGAGAGGGCAATTCTAAAAAAAAATAATGTACTTAAAGCACATTCCATTTATTTATAGATATATATATATATATATATATATATATATGATGAATAAATATAATTATTTTTTAGCTACGCAATAATTAGAAGGGACGTTTGAATTGCCGTAATTTGTTGTACAATAAAAAAGATTATGCAATGTTACTTATATATTGTTATAAATTGATGAATTTAACTGAAAAGGATTTAAAAGAGTTATGAAGAGTCATTATCTAAAAATGTATTTTTTTTTTTTTTGTTAAAAAAATGTATGATAAAAATGAATGTGTGCCATTCCATAGTAATTAAAAAAAAAAAAAAAATTATTATATAGTTAAAAATAAATAAATATTTTTTCCTGGAAAAGTCGATCTGTGATCGATAAAAAAAATTTTTTGTTGTACGCACTAGCTGAATAAAAGACAAGCCATTTAAATTTTTATTACAATTTTATTTGATTTGTTAATTACTCATTGTAATTTTAATTGTAGTATAAACGTTAATGTTTAAGCGTAGTGACAAATATTTTTATTAAAATGAACGTGATTTATTATTTAGCATTTAAAGAATCAATGTTAGACATTAATGTAAAAAATATCAATAAGAACGATTTGATAATAATTAAAAAATTAGCGATCGGCTGGAGAACGTACATCATCTATTTTCAAAATCATTTTAACCAACTGAGTCGCCAATAAAATTTGTTGAGTTTTGCTCTTGAGTGATTCGATGACATTCTGCGATTTCATGTCCAAAGTTCCCACATTCATGCAGTCAATACCGAGAGCCGGGTTTTTCTGAGCCAACTGAGAAGCTTTTGCTTCAGCGAGAGCGTCAACAGCAGCCAGACCGGAGTTGTCGGCCAACGCCATCGGAATAGCTTCAAGAGCATCAGAGAAAGCTCGGAAAGCGTACTGCTCCAGAGTGCTGATGCTGTCAGCTTGAGCAGCACAGGCCAGAGCACATGAAATTTCCGAAGCTCCGCCTCCGTAGACGATTCTCTCATCGGTTATCAAATTACGTACTGCGCAAAGTGCGTCGTGCAATGAACGTTTAGCTTCTTCAATAATCTGTCAAAAAAAAATATATATATAATTAAGAAATGACCTTTTATCTTGTGAAATATTTACATTTTTAATGATATAAGCTCATCCCGATGTTACACTCATTGAGACCTTTCATTTGAGTACCCACATCAATTTTTCATATATTTATATATATGAATATATGAAAAATATATCAAAATGCATGTGAGTACTCAATTGAAAGCTCTTGATCAGTGTATCATCGGGATGAGCTTATATTTTAAAAAACGTCAAAATTAAAAATAATTTTAAAATAAAATTTTTTACCATTTTATTTCCACCGCGAATAAATATAGTAACTGCCCGAGAGTTTTTGCACTCTTCGATTACCAACATGCGGTCCTTGGTGGTACCAAAAGTAAGTTCACGAACACTTCCAGCGTAACCAAGCTTGTCTGGAGTCAACTCCTCGAATCTTGGAACAATTCTGCCTCCAGTAGCAATTGCAATCAACTACAACTCAAATAAATTTTCTTTAATTAATTTTTTGATAACTAAACAAATAATTAATTAATTTTTAATTGTTTTAAACCCTCAGATCTCATAATCTTTGAATCATAGGAGCCCTGCAATATATCAGTATTAAAGTTAGCAAACTTAATTAATAGGGGTTATATCCACTTGTGATTTTCAAAAAATCGATTTTTTTTTTTTTTTTCATTTTTTGAATGTACATATATTCAAGAATATTCTCTGAAAATTTCAAATCGATCCGACAATTAGTTTCGGAGATATGAGCGTATTAGTAAGAACGTCTCCGAGCGTTCGAAAGTAGGCGGAGCACGAGCCGGAGTACCAGCTGTTTCTTGTAGCTTCTATCCTTTTGTTCTCGACTTATATTGTGTTTGGGACCCTAAAATAATAATACAAAGGTTTAGTTTATACCTGAAACCTATGTTGAGGAATTTTAGGTTAAAAATATGTGAACTCATCAGTTAGAAGTGATCTTCCACGTGGACAAGTTGTGTTTGTACTCAGTTTGTGTATTTCTCAGTGTGTATAGTTCAATTAATTAAAGTAAAAAATGCCTCGTAAAGTTAGCAGAGAAACTCGCAGAATTTCCAAAGAACGTTTGGATCGAGGAAAGAAACGGAAGAACGTTTTTAATCCGAAAACCGTGGAATATGATGAGAGCAGTTTCAGCGCTTCAGCAAAAAAATTTAATTTAAATTAATGAAGGTAAAACATCTCTTCTTTATTATATGAGTGCTATGGGATTATCACTTGGACCCAATGCTCATTCCTACGTGAGTAAAGAGGACGCAGAGCGCATCTCAATTTCGGACGCAAGAGCGCAAGGGTCGACGCGCGAGGGGAGAATGGCTCGTAGACAACAACAACTAAACATTTTGGAGGCAAATGACGAAGCAGAGGGTTCCTCTTATGGTGCTGGAATAGATGACACGATGTAAGTTGAAAAAAAAAATTTTTTAATTTAGTGTAAATCGTTCTCGAAACTTTAAACGCGTTTATCTCAAAACCGTGTTTTCAGAGTCGGTGGCCAAAATTTCTCCGAAACCGCTAAACCGATCGGTTTGAAAGAATAAGGTTTTGGACAATAATTTCGATTTTTTAAGCCCTTTTGAAGTGAAAAATTTTCATGAAAAACAGAATTTTTTTTTTGAACAGCCGCCATTATGTCAAAAATCAAAATTTTGACTAGACCTTCGATTATTACTTGTATTTATTTATTACAAAACTAAATATTTTTGGTTTTTAGTTTTCAGATAATTTGGACCAGAGATATCTTGGCCACCGCCAAGCACTTTTTTTTGGAGGTCACTCCGCAGATCATCTACAGGAGCTAGGGGATCCAATATTTTTTTAAATAAACCGCTGATTTTTAAAGTACATTAAATTCTGTTTAAGTACATTTTTTCCATTAATGTATAAAATAAAATGCCTCTTTGGAAAAAATTCACAAAAAAACGCCTTTTTTTCTGCCTCGCAAGTGGATATAACCCCTTTTACAAAGTAAGCGCACGACAAACGGACGCGAGTCCACAAGGAGATTACTTACAATTTATACAAGTCATTTAACTCTAATACCGACCATCGCCCTCCTCTAAGGCGCTTTGTCATCATTGGATAAGTAAGTCCTTAGATTTTAAATAAATTTATGATTAGTACTTGTAATTACCTCAATCTCGGGACCACCGACCCATCTTACGGCTGGCAATTGCTTCTGCAGCAAGAGATGGTTAGCTTCGTCGTCGAAGCCCCACTGACAAATAGCCAGGGTTGCTCCAGCAGCCTTTACTTGGTCTACCATGCTGGTAAACTTCTCGCGCTCGTACTCGCGAAGTTTTTTGTAGTCCTCCACTGAGGTTACGTCCAACTTATGCTTGGTCTTGGGCTTTGGTGGCTCAAACGGGCAAGTTAAGATCGCTAATTTTACGTCTTTCAATTTCTGAAATAAAAAAATTTTTTTTAGATACTAAGTCTTTATGTAAAATAAAAAATTAAATGTAGCAGTTTTATTAGTTTATTGTTTATAATAATATAAATAATAAAAAGTAAAATAATACTGCGTTTATTTTGCAAGGTGTCTGAACAGGAAATATATTGAAAAATATACCTGGAATTCTCCTTGCTAAATTATTTTTTTTTATAATAATCTATATTATTAAGAAAATAAGAAAAATTTTGTTTCCAAGATAGTCATATAGTAAAATCGATTTTTTCAGTAAAATTTAGTGTCATTGCAAAGGTCTTGACTTGAATTTGTGCCTTTTCAAGTTTTTATTTCATTTTCACCGATAGTCAATTTATTATGATAAGTATTTAGGTTGCATTCGAAAATGCTCTATTCTTTAAATACATAATTAAGAAATGTGTAACTTTGTATCTTGCAAACTATTGACATTTATAAAGATATAAGCTCACTCCGACATTACACTCATCGAGACCTTTCATTTGAGTACCCACATCAATTTTTCATATACATTATATATATATATATATGATAAATATATAAAAATGCATGTGGGTACTCAAATAAAAGCTCTTGGCGAGTGTAACATCGGGATGAGCTTATAACTTTAAAAACGTCAATATTTAAGAAAGTCCAGTGCAATTTAACAAAAATCATTATTTAATAAAGCAAAATTTTATTTGTTTATAGTTCACAAGTCACGGCAGTCACATAGTGGCTGCAAGGTTGCTAGTAATTGTTAATATTATATAAGATTTTTTATAACGAAAAACTCATTAATAAAATATTCAATATTAAAAATAGAATAATTTTTTTTTTTTTAATCAAAATTCTTGATAATTTTAAAGTATATTTATTAAATTACCTTAGGCATTTGTGGATGACTGAAATCTTTATCAACAACGACACCGCGTACCAACATAGTGTCTTCCAACCTCCCACCAACTTTACCTTCGAGTTTAATCAACTCAAAGTTAACATCACGTTTCTCCAAATCAGCAACAGCCATAACAGCATCAACTGCAATTTGGGCCATTTGTCGGTGACATTTGTTGATGCTAAAAAAAATTTAATTATTAAAATGTTAAATAAAAGAAAAAAATTAATAAAAAATTTCTAGTTTACATTTTAGAACCAAGAGTAGTCATAGCAGTTCTGATCAAAGGTTCCAAGTCATTGGGATTGACTGGAAACTCTTCGGAGATGTTGCTGAGATGCTGGGCTGCGTACTGAGCAGCCAGTTCGAAACCGTCTGCAATACGAATGGGGTGAATCCCCTTGTCCAGAAGGCTCTCTGCTTGCTCCAAAAGAGCTCCCGCGAGAACCACGACTCCCGTAGTGCCATCACCGATCTCGTCATCCTGGGACTGGGACAGCTGGACCATCAACTTGGCAATTTCGTGGTCTACGTCCATGTTCTTGAGGATAGTTGCTCCGTCATTGGTGACTGTTACGTCGCCGTCCGGGCTGACCATCAACTTGTCCAGGCCTCTGGGGCCCAAGGATGTCTTGAGGATGTTGGCGACATTTCTCGCCGCGGTAATGTGAGACTAAAATTTAAAAAATTGTTAATTAATAATTTATTATTTTATTAAAAAATATAAATTAAAAAAAAAATTAAAGTTTGAAGTAAAAAAAAGTTCTCGAGGTTTTAATCAGACATCTTGTGACCATTTATGGTCACAAATCCATGGCACACCCCCCACTCAGTTATTTCACAACTTCTCCATTTTTATGAATAAATATTTAAATAAAATAATAGAAATAATCTATAATTAATTATGATTGAATAAAATAAAGTAATTGTAAGTTTATTTTTGATGGAAAATAAATTTATTAAGATAAAATGCAACGCCATTGAAAATCACGTGGCGATAAATTTTCTGTTAAAGAAATAAAATATAAATAATTGAAATAAATATAAATTTATTATTTTTTTATAAGTAATAAATAAATCTGATTAATTTGAGACACTTTGTTTTTATAAATATATATATATATATATATATATATATATATTTAATTAATTAATTTTAAGAAGTAAAAAAAATGAGCGTACCTTGATCGCATCGCTGCCGGCGAGTCGTTTCTGATTCTCTTGATCCCGCAGAATAATAAATGGTCGCCCATACTCGTCAAACGCAATTGACCCCGGAAAGGCCGTCATTATCGAGGGATTATATAATCACGGCAAAGACAAAAATTACGTACTATAAAGTACAAAATTATAAATAAATTAATACTTTACATAAAATAATGAAATTTTGTTCGGAAATTAACAACCGATGACAATGACACGGTTTCTTGTGGCCATTTTAAAAAGGTCTACGGTAACTCTGTTGACTTACAAGTTACAAGAGAGTCGTGCTTGGGTGGTCACGGGTAATTGCGGGGAAGGAGCGGTGAGCGCCTCGACGCCACCAATGGCCAAGCCCGGAACCAAGCCCGGCCACTCCAATGCTGGGAATGCTGCTCATCGGCGGTTTTCATTAAAATTTTTCTGGCAACACTATACTATATTACGTTTTGATCGTAGGAGTACAGTATAAATATATAAAAGCTATTAATTTAAATATAACCTATTTATCTTTGTGCGTAATTATTATGAATGCAATTATCAATCATCATAATAATAATACAAAACCTTCCAGTAAAATCGAATGAATAATATAACTTTTGTATTTTATTTAAGTGACATGAGTGATATTTGCCAGCAACTTATTAAAAAATGGATTTATTAGGATCAATATTAGATTCGATGGATAAGCCACCTACTATTAGCAATGAAAAAAAAGCTTTGATCAAAAGTTAGCACCTTTTATAAATTGCTTGTAACATTTTTTTATTTGTGAACATAATACTTTATTACAAATATTGAAACATTATCCATTTCAGAACAACGTGATGAACATCGGAAACAACAGAAAATAGAAACTGAGAGGCTTAAAAGTTTTCGTGAAAAGGTTTAAATAATTTTACTCCTATATATTTCAATTTGCTATTTATATCAAATAGTAAAGCATTTTTATAACGTCTTATATATTTTTAGATCGAACACGATGTTAATGAATTTCTTAATGATGAAAATCAAAAAGAATATACATTTCCTCCGATGGATCAAGTGCATCGTAGTATTATGTATGTATAGTGCTTGTCAGCAGATGAACATTGTTTTTTTTTTTTGTATTATTATCAATAGCTTTTAAATCATTCGAAAGAATGCGCCGTATAATTTTTTCAAATAAATCGCATGAATTTTTTTTTTTTTTTTTTTTATTTTTAAATTAAAACTTCTTCTGTATGATGAAATCTAAAAAAGTCGGCAGTATAACAAAAGCAACATGCTCATTTTCAGGCAATAGTCGATAGTAGTCCGTACCTTAGTTCTGTGCAATATTTATTTGATCGGTGTTAACGATATACATTACAAATTTTTAATATTTTCTGGAGACTCATTTAAGAGAAACACAAGTTTTTGGTGTTTCGTCATGCTTCGATATGATTTAGTTCCAAGAAAATTATTAATAATTTTATAACTTTTGATTTCAGTTACGATGTAGCTGAAGTTGCAAGTATTTTGGCTCACTCATTCGGAGAAGAGGGAATTGATAGACATATTCGATTATTTAAAAAAGAATATGCTCCATCTGAGGACCAATTGAATGTTTTACGTCGCGGAGAAGAGTGGAATGATGATACTGCTAAAAAATTAAAAGAAGAAAAAGAAAGAGAAGCAAAAGAAAAACTAGAAAATTTTCATTCAAAGAAACGTAAAATTGATTTTATTCCAAATACTAACTATAAAGATAAATATAAACATATTATTGGTGAAGAAGCTGCTTTGGAAGCTGCGAGAAAAACTGAAGCCAATAGTAGTTATGGATGTGGTAAGTTCTTATTTGAAGTAACTCTATTTTCTAGACACCTCCAGCTTAAAATAATAATAATAATAATAATTTAATTCAATAATTACTCATTATTATTAGTTATATTTCTTGGCTCAAAAATGTTTTTATTTAGATTCAAGACAATCTTTGTCTTCAAAATGGTATTCTTTGTTTAACATTTTTTCTCTTGAGTCAAGTTAACTCTTTTATCGATGTTTTCAAGATTTTTTTTAAATTATTTTTCTCGTAATTCATTCCTTACGAATTATTTTTCAAAAAATTTGATTTTATTGAAAAATCCTTTTGAATCATTTGATGGCCTATGTTTGTTTAATTTTCATTTGCTTTCTTTGACCATTATTAGATTTTTTGCGGACTTTTTGTCAAAATTGAATTTATACCGAATATCATTATTTATTTGAACTAACATGTGAGGTGTAAACTTGGAAATTATGAAATTTGTTCATTTAATAATTCATATGTTACTTTTCAGTTCCTTGTGAAAATAAAAAAGATCAGAGGAGTATTGAACAGACACTTGCAGACATAAAAGCAAAAAAGAAAAAGATGAAAGAAATGAACGGATAATTCTATCATAAATCAAATTAAATTAGTGAAGTTTCCGTATACAACGGTATTTTTTTCCAATAAATATCCTTAATTTTTAGTTTTTAATCACTCGAATGAGTTCAAATTTTATATTAGTATTGTTACAAAAAAAAAGTAAGCACACCGTAATAACCAATAAAATAGTACCCATGACAAATTTTCTACCTTTTTGTGCAGTTTTTATACTTCCAATTTTAATACATGGTTGTTCTGAATTAATTTTACAGCCGGAATATTCAGATTGAGAAGTATAAAATAATTTGGTTGATTGATTAGCTGTAAGAATCGTAAAGAGAAATAAGTATACAAAAATAAATAATAATTTCAAGAGTATATAATACTATCTCATTTCATATAAAAATTATATCTTTTTTTGAAATTGTAAATTTCGTATTTCCCCACTTTTTATGCTCATCTCTAGAATTGAGAGCTGTAAAATTTTCTACACCATACTATCAACAATGAACATTAAATTCGCACTGAAAAAATGTAATAACAACGATAACTCACGAACCAATCAACCGATTTTGATGTTCTTGGAGTAGATCGACGTGGTTGGTGGTCTTTTCGGCAGTGAAGGGGAATTATCAAAAAGTTCTCCAAATTATTGTTCTTATAAAGTAAAAAAAAAAAAAAATTATTTATCGAGGCTTAGTTTCTGATTTTTCATTTTTAATTAACTAATTTTCTTCTACAATTTGCTCAGCAAAGTGGCCGGGAACGGCTAGTTTATTATAAATCAAATTCAATAATTAAAATTATAGTAAAGTTGCCGCGTAACACATCAACAACGACACCTATGAAATCATCGGATATAACCGCGCTCTCTACTTATGAACAACAGCAGTAGTGTTATCTCACACTCTACAGTCACCGAGAGGGCAGTGTTATGCTTCCATCTAGTGGATGTTATTTTTATTTATTTAAAACTTTACTTACTGTAGTTCTTTCGCCCGGGAGTATTAAAATACTCGGTTTCAGTGCGGGAAAGGAATAATTTTAAATAAAAGAATTCTATTTAGACGTAATTTAATTTTGATCAAAATTATTTAGTTGGTTTCAATTTATTATTCGAGTTGACAAAATATTAAAAGCTTCAAAATATAAAATTGAGGTTTACAATGACGTGATCTTAGCAATCTAATCTCTCGATGAGAAGTGTCGTTACATAGTTTTTCCGAAGATCTTCAAACTCCGTTCTTCTCCCACCATAACTTCCACACATACATCCACTCTAAGGAATATATAAATACATACATTTTCTACTACATATAAATGATCCTTATACACTAACATGTATTTTCTCTATATCTATATATATTTACTTCAGCCGATCGGCCTGAAAGTTGGCCTTCACTTATATATACTAAAATTATAATAAACTATAACATGAAACTATATATATTATATTATTTATAATATGTTGGACTAATGTTTGAGTTTGAATAATTAATAATTTGGATTAAATATTATTTCTATCATTTTACATTCGAGTTTTCTAATAAAATTATAAGTCAGTTTAATTATTATCCTGTATAAAAGAATAGATATTATTATTTAATTATAAATTAAATAATAATTAGATAATGATTTAATAGTAAATTAGTTAACTAATAATTATTAGTTATAAATTAAATATAAGATACTAATTATTAATTATTTTAACTCAATTTTGCTTAACTACAATATTATATAAAGTTAGATTTTAACAGTAAATGTTATTTAACAATATTATTTTTGTTTAGTTACATATGTTTTTTTTTTATTATTCTTTGTTACTTTAGAACAAGGGTCTATTGAATTTCACACGTGTCTTTTACGACTTTTCCTCATAGGGTTTTAAGTTTCATCTGGCGAGAGTCCTTGAATTACTCAAGTACTTTTTATGGGTTTTGAAAATTCGGTTACAATGTACCTTTGTACCGAAATATGTTTTTTTTTTATTTTATTTTATTTTCTTTTGTAAATAAAACAGAGTTAACCAAAAGATGTTTATTTTACAACTGGTAAGAGTAAAAGCATTAAATAAAGGACTGGAATATTTACTTCGAATATAAAATTTAACTAATTTTAATCATTTAATATTTACTAGTTTGAATATTTCGTTTGAATTCGCGCTCTCATAATAGATAGCGCTCTAATAACAGGTAGCGTCACCTGTTGGATGCACTGGGTGCATCACAGCAGTATTGACTTGATTTAGCATGTTTATAGAGGGATAAGTAATATTTCCTGTATATATACATGCTTAGTTAAAGATGTGATCATTAATGCCTAGCCTAGCCTGGCACGCTAAAGTGTACCAGTGTACCTATAGTGTACCAGGCATTAATGGCATTAATGACATTAATGACCACATCTTTACAAGAACTTTTCTGGTTTTGTAAAAGTAAAAAGACAATTCCAAACAGTTGACAGCTGGCTCAGTTAAAAAAAAAAAAAACTGAGGGCTACAGGTTTTAACGTGTTTATTTCGTTTCTTGATTATTCAAAGATTCATTTTACCTATAAGTTTGTTATTGATGAGTAAATAAACATTGATGCGGAAAAATGAGTGATCCCTTCAATAAACCAGATAATACACCATTTATATCTGTCGAAAATTATTCCACGGATGACATATTCAGTGGAAGAGACAGAATGAATCTAAATTATGAACCATCGGTCCAGCAAAACATCACAATTCATCAAACTGAAACAGATTTAAAAAATGACATCGAAGGTTTCAGCGATTCTTCGAATACGAACAATGGTATGATTGTTGTATGTATAAAATCTAAACAGTTTCAAAAACAAATAAATTCCAGAAATCGTTTTTTGGTTACATTTCTTGTCACTTTAAGGTTTGAAATTTGAAAATAATTTGGCTAAAATCTGATAGGATTGAACAATTTTACTGAATGTAGTTTTTTTTTTTTTTTTTTTTTTTTTAAATAATTTCTGGGAATCAAATTGAACATAAACTTTCAAAGCTACTTTGAAACTGGAAGATCGTCTGAGCAATAATCATGGATTTGAATTGAAACTGATGAGATTGTTTCATCTGTCTCATTAGGTTCAAATAATGGTGACTATTTTTTAAATTTTTCAAATTGATAATCTGAAATTTTTTAATTAGTCTATGCACGGCGTTACTTTTTCAAACAATTTTGAAATTCATAAATAAACTAAGTCTTCTCATATGTATTATGACCCAGTAAACTCAAAATGCATCAACTGCGATTGTCATTTTATTACCATAATTATGGATCTACTAAATATAAAATTTTCTTAGACAATAATTAAAAGTCGTTCATCATTTGTTTTCTATTGAATTTCCTTCTAAAATTACGTCTAATGAATAACTAAAAGTTAAATAATGTTCTCAATTTGAAATTGAATTGTCCTCTTTATTACATTATGTTTACGATGGTTCTACATCATCATATCCAAAGCCATTATATCTGCATGCAATTAAATCTGCGACATTATATCCATGCCATTAAATCCTTGGAACACTATAATTGGAAAAATATGACAACAATCAATCAATATTAATGTCAGGAAATTATATTATATTACATTTTAAATTTTATTTATTATATCATGTAATTCACAATAGAATACAAATCTCATAAATAATTATAAATATAAATAAACATAATTATTAAAATTAATAATAGGCATACATAATTAGATATAATTTTAATGATTTCTTAATCGAGAAACAATATTTTAAAACTATTAGAAAAATCATATTATTTTTAGTAATGAAACTTTATTATTAGTGTTGTGAAGTCAGCACCTTGCGTATATAAGGAGCACGAATCGTACTGAAAGGGTAACTGGGTAACACCCAAACTTCACATGATAAAGTTTACAAGAATGAAAAACATTTTCAGGCTGTCCTCACCCTGCCTCTGGACCCTGTCCAATTTTCCGCTTGTTCTTACCCTGCCTTATTACATCATTATCATCATCATCATCATCATCATCATCATCATGGCACGGATATAATGTCGCAGATATACTGCCGCTCGGATATAACGTCGTGGATATATCGCCGAAGATTTATTGTCGCGCGGATATAATAATTTCGGATCTTATAGTATGTTACCGTTTACGATAATAAATTAGTTAATTAAATAGTATATTACACGGAATAATAAAATAATTGAAGAAACAATTATTTTATAAATAAGTCATTATGTATAAACTTTATGTATAAATGTGAAAACTTTAAAAATCTTTTAGATCTTTTCATTTATTAGAAAATGTAAATTAAAAATATTTTTATTTTTAGCAAAAGACAATAAGATGTTTTGGACTCTAGAATTTTATCAACAATTTTTTAACGTTGACTCTCATGAAGTATTTGAAAGAATTAAAAAATCTATGTTACCAAAGAGTGATAATAATTATTTATTATCTCACATTAAACCAAATCCCGACCTTTACGGACCATTTTGGATTTCTGTTACTCTTATATTTGTAGTAGCCATAAGCGGAAATTTCGCTAATTATTTACAAACAGCTAATAATGGAAAATATCATTGGAAGTACGATTTTCATTTGGTATCATATGCTGCAATAACGATATGTCTCTACGTTTGGTTATTACCCCTCAGTATTTGGAGTGGAATTAGATGGGGTAATAATGCACAAGAGGATATTTTACAATCACAGCTTACAAAGGTAACGTTGACTTTTTTTACAAAAATTTATAATAAAAATATGCATTATTCTAGGATTCCAATACTTTATCAGATTTTTATTGATTTTAGACTACTCAAGATTTAAGGATTTTAGACCTTCTATGTCTTTATGGTTACTCTTTATCAATTTACATTCCTGTAGCTATTTTGTGGACTATTCAAATAGGATGGTTTCAGTGGTTATTAGTTGGTGTAGCATCATTAATGTCTGGAGGGGTATTACTTCGATGTTTAATACCACTTATAAAAAGTAATATTTCTATAGTTATGGAATTTTTCTAAATTATAAATTAAAATATAAGACACTCTTTAGGCATCGATATTTATAAGCGATCTAATATTTAACATGAAATTTCTAATATTCATTTTTTCTAACAGGTAAACAAAAACCAATATTTATTGCCGTAATTCTTGGAATGCATTTATTACTAGCTGCAGGATTTATGCTATATTTTTTCCACGTACCGGACAGAAAAGTTACTTCAGAACTCACACACAGTCAATCAAGCACTGAAGCCATTATTTCTACTAAAAACAATTAAAGTCATCTTTAATTTATCAAAATTGTTAACAAATTTTAACATATATAATATTTTAAAGACATGCGCTTTCATAATAAATTATAAATCAAACAAAAACGTGTAATTGGGTCATTCCATGTCAAATTACCCAATAGTTGAAATTGTCCCCGTTCGGTTTAAATGAATTTTAGTGTAAAAGTTTCTTTTATAGTTAAAATGCAGCCCGCTAAAGAAAAAAAATTCTTTTTAAAGAAATTTTTAAAAATTCATAACTTAAATTTAGAAATTTAAAAAATTGTAAAAATCAAATTTTTTCGTGTAATTCCTTTAATAGATCTTGAAAATTTCGAGATGAGATTTTAATTTATTTCAAACAAGAATTTTTAATGAAAAAAATTAGGAAAACGGTTGACCCTGAATGCCATCCCTGCAACTTCCCGCTAATTCCATATCTAAGCGCTTAAAATTGCACTTAAGACGTTTTTGAGCTCTTCGAGCTCAAAAATACGATTTATGTTTTATTTTGAGCTCTCCGAGCTCAAATAGTTGGCTGTTCTATGCTTTTGAGGAAAAAATTTTGATAGAAAGTCTGATAGAAGTTTAATAAAACACTATTATTTAAATTTTCAAACTGTAATTACTTTTGAATGATTAAACCGATTTTCACGCGGTTGGCAGCATTTGACGCAGTTTTCTACAAATTGATCAGACCGTTAATTCCGGTGTAATTTGAAAAAATCACTTTTAAAATCAAATTTTCAATTTTTTTAGCGGGAAGTTAGAAAAAAAAATCAGGAAAATGGTTGATCCTCAAGGCCATCCCTGGAACTTCCCGCTAATTCCATATTTAAGCGTTTAAAATTGCACTTAGAACGTTTTTGAGCTCTTTGAGCTCAAAAGTCTGATAGAGTTTAATAAAACTCTATTTTTTGAATTTTCAAACCACAATAACTTTTGAATAAATGAACCGATTTTCACGCGGTTGGCGGCAGTCAGCGAAGTTTTTGAAGCCTCATGAAGAAATTTTAAGTTTAAATTGATCGAACTAGAAATTTTGAAATGAATCCGAAAAAACACTTCGGATTTCTTTTGACAACGATAACTCACAAACGAATCAACCGATTTCGACTGACTTGGCGGCGATCGACGTGGTTTTTTGATGTTAAGAGTTGATTAGTTTTTGGAATCGATCGGTAAAGCCGCTTAAAAGTTATTCCAAAAAAACCACTTAAAAAAAAAATTTTTTTCTTTTTTTTTTTAGATTTCTCAAAATCTACCGGTCCGAATCGACCCAAATTGTATTCAAAATCTAAGTTTGATCAAACCCTTTCGAATGGCGCCAACCGCGATGAAATTGGTAAAGTCGTTCAAAAGTTTTGAGAGGTTTATATCCGCGTGTACACACACACACACACAAACATACGGACATCATCGCGGAAACATCCGGGGAAGCTTCCTAGGACCTTAAAACGTCGAGATCTGATGAGAACTCGATTTTCGAAAAACGGGGTAAAACCAATAACTTCCCAACTTTTGAAAATTTTCAATTTTCTTAGCGGGAAGTTAAAAATTTTTTTTGCAACTTTCAAGTAAGAAAAAGTTGAATTGATACTCAGATATGTCATTTTAAGCATGCTATGATGTAATTTTTTGAGCGAGATCTAAAACGATCTTTTCAAAAGAGATCTTTTGTTCGAAATTGGCTATCGTCTCGGAGTAATAGAGTTGATATTTTTGCCTCTCTGAAGAGATAAAACAATCTTCACTGTTAGTCAATTATGTAAAAAGGCAATTGTGCATGGATATATCATCTTCCTATCATAACTGAATTTGGCCTACTGCACTCACTAACGGTCTTGTGGGGTTGTGTGCTAGTAACGTATGGCACTTCATTTTCTTTTTATAATGTTATTAAACGGCTTTGTTGACCTGCTTTTAATTATACATCTTGTTATGAGAATTATTTATAGATGAAATTGGTGGACAAATTTCAGTGTTAAAATTATTTTACAAGATAAATTCAATTTTTGATGAGTAGAAAAAGAATATCAATCTTTTTATTGTTATCCCAAAAATCTACGTCCAACAGTTTACACTATGAAGTAATCTATTATGATCCTTCTCAATTCTTTTACATATCTATTGAGTCTATTATTTTTTACTGACTTGACTTTACTGAGAGGACAATTAATAATTTTACTTGACGATTTTTTTTTTACTGTTTTACAAAAACTAAAATTACGTTGTGAAATGACTTTGGCAGTTGTAAACAATCAAAATAATGATTTTCAATATAAATAATTTTCATCATTGCTTGTCAGAATAAAATAACTTTTGAAATATGTCGATTCTTCAAGTTCATGATTTATAAAATTTTTATTGTGCGTAAATAATCTTTAAAAATACATTATTTTTACATAATTAATAAAGTTATGTTATATTTATTTCATAATTTCAGAGTTTTAGGAGTTAATTTCGACTTTTCAGATGTTAAATCCATAATAATAGCTTTTTTTAATTCAATTAGCTCGGTAAATTCTTGTCCTACGATACTTCGATACAACTCCAAGCCTCGTTGAATAATTATTTCACGGATATACGCAGTATTATCTTGAACTAATTTTTTCTGAAAAATAAAAAGCTTGTAAAAATTACAATATATTGAAAATTCAAGTTTTTGAACAAAAAGTAAAATTTATTAAAAAAATTGATGAGTTTTTGTGATGAAGAGACAGATAGTAAATTGATAAACATTCAGAAAGAATGGGGACCTGTTGTTATGATTCAAAACAAAGTTATCGCGTTGAATTTTTTGAAGTATAAATATTATTAAGTGGAAGCAACAAAGATTAAACTAATAATATTCAATAGTTTAACACTCAGTGAATCTAAATAAAAAAAAAAAAAAAAAATGGTTTCATAAAATAAGTTCCTTAGAAGTAATCGAGATTGCGTTATGAAGTGTGTAACTGTTATGTGAAAAAAAATTATTATTCAAACTATTCGTTATTTAATTTATAGAAAGTTAATAATATTTTTCGAAATTTAGAGGTGAAATAATTGAAGATAATATTATGATTGTTAATAGTGTGAGGCATCTATTTTAAACGTATTTCTTACCTCTGACTTTAATTTGGGATTATTGAGTGCAACAAGTATATATTGAACTTGAGCACGTAAAACTGAAATAAGTACTGTTTCAATCGTACATAAAAGTTCTGGTGTATAAATACTCAAGCAATCATCTAAAAGCCCAATATAAAGTTTTGAAAAGGCTAATGTGTTACTAGTTAATGATATCCAACAATCACTGGTTATAAAGGCAGACGGAATAGGAATACCAAGATCATCTAATTCACTTTGAAGTTTTTGAAGATTTTCAGAAGTTTGAAAATTTAAAGGACGCCAATTATCTTCTGCAGCACGAACTTTAATTGCATCTATATATTTTTCACTAGAATCTTGTAGAGCTCTCGCTAAGTGAGTTCGTAATTGACCATCAAGTTGATAACGCAAGTCTATTCCAAGATAAGTTAATTGATCACAATGGCTACGAACTGTATGTATACACTCAACTAGAGTTCCTAATGTTACTTGAGGAATAAACAATTGTTTTATCAAGTGAGATGTAAGATATTTGACTTCCTGACTGCACCAAACAATAAGACTTGAAGTACAATTCATTGATGGTGAAAAAAGTTTAAGAAATTCTTTGGCCATATCGAAAATATTACTGAATGCAATAGCGCTTAACTGTTTTACGTAAGGTACAACAGTACCTTCACGTTTAACTCGTTTTAAACGAGATGTAAGGGCTGCATTACAAAGTTGCAAATATATTTTGCAAGCTTGAGCGCTTCGATTAAGTTGTATAAGAAGTTTAACGGCTCTTCGTGCACTCCTCAATCCACCTCCTTGTAAAGATTTTGCTTCTATACTTAACTCCAATTCATCGGTAAGTACCTCTACAAGGCATTTTCCCCGATTTTCAATTTTTTTCTTTATTTCAATTGATTGTGATGTTTGTGTTGCCTTCAGATAACTCATTGCTTTCTCAAAAAGATTATATGCTTCCTCAAAGTGTCTTTGCGCTATACATGAATCAAGATCTTCTGTTACTTCTGATAGCCACTCGGGTAAAGGCTCTAAACTATCAGCAGAATCATCACCCTCCTCTACACCAAGACTGTGAGAGTCAAGAGACATCGATCTTGAGGTTAACATTGTAAATTCCTTCTGTGTTTCTTGCTTGTTTGTTGGTTCTAATGGGCACTCTTGTAGAAGACGAATTTTTTTAGCTTGTTCACATTTTTCCAACCACTCTTTCTGTTAAAATCAAACATTATTAGTTATTAAATATAAAATGATTATCTATTAGATTTTTTTTGGTTCCGAGGGAACTTGATGCAATTAATAACGATAATTAACCCTTTAGAGCTTGGTAATTTTACATTGTCTCCGCGTGTAGCTAGTATAAGTAAAGTAAAATTTCAAATCCAAGTTTAAGTTAATGTCATTTTTCAACTTCCTATTAATAATAATGTTTCTTTCAAATATTTGAAAAGTTATTTTCAATCGAACTTTCAAAAACCGAGTTTCCACCAAACCAAATGTCAAAGATTAAAATTTTCGAAAACATATTTTTAATTAGTATCAAAGTGAATTTTATTTTAGACCCTACCGATTGGTCGATAAGAGAATATCAAATATAAAATAAAAATACCATTATAACGATAAAATATTTATTCAGAAGTATAAGCTTACTAAGCTTTAATTATTCAATTTAAAAAATTTGTTTGACATAACATTTATTCAAACGTTCTTCAATAATTATGATAATTTAATTCATTATTCCGAATGAAATCTAAATGAAAAGATTTGCTTTAATTATACAAATGTTTATTCATCAACTTTTTATAACCTATTTCGACAATTGACGATGTAAAAAGAGAAAATTTTGAGAAAGTCAATTAATGAAAATAAATTCTATAGTTAGATTCTTAAACAAATCTACAGATAATTTTGATTTAGTTAATCGATAATTATATTTCAGAATATCTTAAATCTACAATAATAAAAATCTAGCTTTTCTCAAAAAGTTCTACTAAACAAATTCATTTGGTACAAAAATATTTTAAGATTCTGCGAACGATATGCGCTCATCAAAGATAATACCGTATTACTTTTCGAGTATTAAAAAAAAAATCACTCAATGACCCTTGATGGTTTGATATTTCTACGATATAAAAATTACTTAAGAGTTTGTAATTCGTAATTCAATCACTTTTAATTGCCAAATAATGTGAAATAAACTGTATTCTTAGCGAAATTTAGATAAAAAATTTAAAGTAAAATGAGCATAGACGAATTTAATCACAATAGATGGTCGTCGAATACCTTGTCTGTATAAATGTATGTATACATTAAATATCGCGTTACTAAAATCAAAAGGGCATATCTCAAAATATACGCTCTTTTGGCTTTGTAGAACCAGAAAGGGCGTATAAAAAAAGTTTTCTTTTTCTTATCAACTAAGAAATGTACAAAAGTAAAATTCTTGTTGAAAAACGCAATAGATTTTTTTTTCGACATACCCTTTTGACTTTGAGAAAAAAAATTTTTAAAGTCAAAAGGGCGTATATGAAAAAATAGTCAAAGTAGCTTCTAAGGACCTTAAAACGTCGAGATCTAACGAAAAATTTATTTTTTGAAGTGAGACTAAAAACACAAATACATTCCAATTTCTTTAAATTTTCAATTTTTTGTATTTTGTGAAAATTCACTGAAAAAAAAAAAAAAAAAATAAAATTTTTATTGTTTTAAAATTTTTAATGTCATAGTATTTTTAGTTGAATTTTAAAAAATCATTTTTTCATTAGATCTCGACGTTGGGAGGTTTTTAGACGCTACTTTAACTATTTTTTCATATATGCTCTTTTGGGTTTAAAAATTTTTTTTAAAGTCAAAAGGGCGTAAGTCGAAAAAAATTTTTTTTTCCGTTTTTCAAGAAGATTTTTACTTTTATATATTTCTTAGTTGATTGGAGAAGAAAAGAATTTTTTTATATGCCCTTCTGGTTCTGCAAAACCAAAAGGTCGTATATTGTGAGATACGCCCTTTTGACTTTAGTAACGCGATATAATGATTTTTGAATACTTTCATTATATTTATATACTTTCAATTAAATAAAAAATATTCAAGAAAAATTTTTCAAAACAACTTTTCGAAAATTGATAATTTTTCTAAGACAAAAAAGTATAGGAATTATAAATCAATTCAAAGCAATTTTTACTGTAATTAAACATCAATAAAAATATTACCTTGCTAATTGCAGAAGCACATTGGAAGACTCGAGTATCTGGAAAAGCCAGTAGCTTAAAAGCAAGTTTAACTGAACCTAAATCTTTTACGTTGACTACAGCTAAGCACTGTAAATTATAAACTGCTTGAACTTTATATTTTGATGGTTGTCTTCGCCCACTAGTACTCAGCCAAGAAGCAATCATAAGAATGTCATTGAATAGATAACCATGTACACGTTTCAATGGAGTTCCTTCTAACGGGTCTAACTCCAACAAAGATCCTTCATGGAAACAAATTCTTCCTGGTGTATCAACTAAGCTCTAAAAAAATTTTAATATGTATACATATTATTAAATGATAAATAGATAAAAAATCTTTAGACATTAACCATTCCTCCTTCAACGTGTTCGAGTAATTGAATCAACTTTTGTTTTTGTTCTTGTTCTTTTGAAACAACATTAAAATCCTGGTGATTTTTCAAAATATCATCAAATATAGCACCAGTAGATCTGTTGGAATTTAATGCGCTAAGAAGTGATCGTTGTTCACTTAATAGCTGAGATAACTGGTACATTTCACTTTCCAAATGAGAAATCTCTTTAGCTGTTTCAATAAATTGCATATAATTTTGATAGACATTACGTTTAAGTTGAATTGAAGTTTTATCATTGAGTTCTTGAATTTTTATTCGTTGTTTATGAAGTTCAGTCGCTCCAATACATTGAGTACTGAGATCTTTGACAACTGAAAAAAAATCCCTCATTATTGACACAAAACAACATTTTTTTATCTTTTCATTTCACACTTACACTTATCGGGATTAAAATCATCATTTGCAAAACGTGTCATCAATTCTTCTGTCATCTTGAATCACCAAGTGTTTAAATATCACATAGATGAATTTAAATACCAGTTAAAATAATAGTCAAAATAGTGCCTTATCTGTAGACTCAACTTGATCGGTAATTATTAAAATTTCATTATTAAAAAGCTAAATAATGTTACCTTTTAATTTTGTTTGAAAACTATTACACTCGGAGCCTTCTACTGTATTTACTAGATGTATATCTGATTTGATACATATCGAAACAGACACAAGTAGAAGCTTACCTCTGAGTTCTCTTGTATTAACATAATGATTTTATAAAACAAATGAGATAAGGAAATTCTAAGATAGAAGTTACTTATTTATGTATTTTAATTTATTATGTCATTAAACTTTACTATTTTTTATTAAATTGTCATTATTTCTTTTTCTTTTTTTTTTTTTTTTTTTTTCTGAGCAGCTATGTTGATTTGGTTATTCCATCATCATTTTAACAATTTTTTTTTTTTCAATCAAAAAAATAATTATGAAAATCACAAAAGTCAAGATGTTCCAACAAAATTTTTCTCTTATTGTATTATGAGTATTATATATGGGCATCGATTTGATTTATCATGTATTTTATTAATAGTAGACTACACTAGTTATTTAAATCTGTTTTATCTACAAGTTTTTTATATTTGCTATCACCGTAGGTAGCAGCACTTTGTATAATTTTTTTTAATTGTCGTTTTTTTTTTTTTTTTTTTTATTTTTATTTGTACATTTTAGCACAAAAAATTAAAAAATTAACTTTCTACCCTGATAGCCAGCGCTTCCTCAGAAAGTAAAAAAAGTAGTTGACTTCCAGTAGTTACGGTTATCTTAACATCAATTTTACGATAAGTCTTCACTGAATAACAGTTATAAACAAATTGACGAAAATCTACGGCCGCAATTTAAATTTAAATGCAAGCTAGTTCACAATCAAACTTGTAGTTAAATTTTTTTTCTTTACGGGTGTGATGCCTCTAGATGTATCAAGCAGGTGAAACTACTTGTCAGCGAAGCGCGAATTTAAATACAAGTTAAATTATTTTAAACATTTCATAAATTCATAATTGAAATTGTCCAAATTAGGGGTCGGCTAGAATTGAAATAATACATATTTAGTCGCGTTGAAATAAGGGATCATAGAATTTTCTCACTTGTGTCTTTTATGACTTTTCTCAGAATCTCAAGTACCTAAGGCTTCTCGGAACTCAACTACAATGTCTCTTTGTACTCGATCATAATTTATATTTATTTAAAACAAAAATATACTCCATACAATAAATATTCTACAACATAAGATCTAAACTTTTTAATTTGAACAGTTTTAACGATTTCAATTATGAATTAATAAAATATTTAAAATAATTTACATTATATTTAAATTCGCGCTTCGCTGACAGGTAGTGTTACCTGCTTGATACACCTAGAGGCATCATACAACAGGCGCCATTTTCATGGAGTATCTTAGTCGTGTCTCCAATGGTGATGTGTCCTGCCCGAATAGAGATAAGCACGTAACCTCGTTTGATCAGATTCGTTTTACCCACGTGGTTACATTATTTTCTATACTTCTTAATTTTTTATAAATACTTATAAATATGGCTAAGTTTTGTCTAAGTAAGTATTATTCAAAATATGTAATAACGTGTAAAATTTAATTACTATTATAAAACTGAAATTAACAGACATCTGATAATTTTCAAGATTTTTTTCTAAATGAAAAAAAATTCCACTGATTGAATTTATGGTAAAATATAAATGCCAATTGGTCAGATTGTTTTTTTAGGGAAAATTTATTAGTTAACAAAAAACTCTAAAATTATCATATGTCTGCTTTTTCAATATTACTGGCTATTGACATGTTTATCATCACGATGTTTTTATAGACATGGATATTGTACTTTCCTTTACCGCGTTGCAAAAATATAAATTAAATATGTGTCTATAAAAATATTTATATTGGTAGTAGGTCAATAATAGTAGTGAATGTAAAAAATGATAATTTTTTTTTCTTTTTTAGAAAAACAAAGCAAAAGAGTGTCAGCTCGTAAAAAGTATAAAATTGAAAAAAAGGTTCGCGAGCACAACAGAAAAATTCGTAAAGAGAAAAAAAAACATCCTGAAGGTTAGTAAATTTCTTATAATTAAATGAGAATCTTGTTAAAAGATTCTGAAATTAGCGAACACATGATCATTTTTTTTTGTAATATTATCTGTCTTGTAATTTAGTGCTAAAATATTGAAAAAAAATTAGGAAAACGGTTGACCCTGAAGGCCATCCCTGCAACTTCCCGCTACTTTTGTAATTAAGCGCTCAAAATTGCACTTATTACGTTTTTGAGCTTTTTGAGCTCAAAAATATAATTTTCGTGTAGTTTTGAGCTCTCCGAGCTCAAAAGTCTGATAGGCGGTTAATAAAATACTATTTTTTGAATTTTCAAATCTCAATAACTTTTGAATGAATAAACCGATTTCCACGCGGTTGGCGGCATTAAACGCAGTTTTTCAAATTCTATGATATGTTTTCAAACACAAATTGATCAGGCCAGAAATTTCGGTGTAATTCGAAAAAAACACTTTTTCGATTTCTTTCGTCAACGATTACTCACGAACGAATCAACCGGCTTGGTGGCGATCGACGTGGTTTTTCGATGTTAAGAGCTGATTAGTTTTTGGAATTGATCGGTCAAGCCGTTTGAACGTTATTAAAAAAAAAACACATTTGAAACAATTTTTTTCGCAGTTTTTTTTAAGATTTCTCAAAATCTATTGGTCCGAATCGGTCCAATTTGTATTCAAAATCTAAGTAACATACATACATACATACATACATACATACATACATACATACCTACATACATACAAGTTAAAAATTAAATTGCACTCATAATTAATTTTTTTAAATTTCTACATGTAAAATTTTTCTGATAAAAATTTATCTATTATAAATATCCTAAAAAATATTAAATGTCTATTTATTTCAATAACTTTTCTTTTTTGTTTTATATTTATGCTAAAGTCAATTTTTTTTTTTTTATTTTCAGGAAAAAGAAAAATTACCCAAATTCCGAATCAATGTCCATTCAAAGAAGATATTCTTAAAGAAGCCGAAGCCTTAAGGAAGCAAAAAGAAGAAGAAAAACAGAAACGTCGCGAAGAAATGCTAGCTGAAAAACGTAAAAAACTAGCTGGTGGTATTGAAAGTCTTGTAGAAAATGCAGCAAACAAATTAGAAGAACATGAGTCAACTACTAATTCTAAGACTTGTCAATCATCATTTCAAACGATGAAAGACGAAAATTCTTTGAAGACGTATTTTAAGATATTCCAAAAAGTGGTAGACTTAGCTGATGTTATTTTGGAAGTTGTTGACGCGAGAGATCCTTTGGGAACTCGATGTGAACAAGTAGAAAATGCAGTAAATTCGTCGAAAGGCATAAAAAAATTGGTGTTAGTCTTAAATAAAGCAGATTTGGTCCCTAGAGAAAATCTTGATCAGTGGCTTAAATATCTTCGGGGTAGTTTACCGGCTGTTGCTTTTAAAGCTTCAACTCAAGACCAATCGAGAAACTTGGGTCATAGAAAATTGGCTTCTAAAAAAGAATCTATGATTCAGAATAGTGCTTGCTATGGTGCTGAATTAATAATGAAATTATTAGGGAATTACTGCCGGGATCTCAATGGAGTTAAAAAAAGTATCACTGTGGGTATTGTTGGCTTACCTAATGTTGGGAAATCAAGTGTTATTAATTCATTAAAACGAAATAAGGTTTGTAATGTAGGTAACCTTCCAGGAATTACCAAGAGTATGCAGATTGTTCAGTTAGATTCAAAAATCAAGTTACTTGATTCACCGGGAATCGTATTTGCTGAATCCAACCAAGATGAAGATTATAATAGCTCAATAGCACTTAAAAATGCTATCAAAATACAGTCTTTAAAGGACCCAATAACACCAGCTTCTATAATACTAAAACGTATACCACATGAAAAAGTGATAGAACTTTATGACATAGGAGATTTTTCTACACCTGAAGAGTTTTTTGCCATCAAAGCCAAACGGATGGGTATGTTGAAAAAGAAAGGAATTCCTGATTCGGTTGCAGCAGCTTGCAGTCTTTTGAATGATTGGAATTCGGGAAAGATAAGGTATGTCAATTTATTTTAATATTTTAATATTTAGATGTTAATAAATTTTTATTTATTACAGATATTGTACATTACCACCAGAAACTCCATTCACTAATGAATCTGTAGAAATTGTAAAACAAGTTGGTGGTGAATTTGATATTACGAAGTATGAAAAAGAAGAAAAAATGTTGCTTGAATCATTGGATAATATGGCAGAGGAAAATAAACTAGCTAATATGAATTCAGTGTCCCTTTCTAGCGCTAACTCAGATGAGACAGCTTCTAATTCACAAAAAAAAGTATTTAAATACTTTTATTCAAATCATTTTTTTCATTACATTAAATAAAAATTTAAATATTAATTGAGATTATATTTTTCAGATTATCAAATTACAAAAAATAAATGAGAAAGTGAAAAACAATTCAGTAACTTCGAACAAAAACGTGCAGATAAAGAAAGGCAAAGATCTGTTTTCAGAAACTGAAGGAAATCAGCAATTGAATAAACTTAATAAACTCTACTTTAAGAAACAAAAAAAAGAAAAAGTAAAAAGAGGTAAGAAGTTTTATTGCTTTCAAAGTTTGATGGTTTCCTAATAAATATTAATTTTCATTTTATAATTTTTAGAAAAACAAACGACCAAATTGGCTGATCAGCTAGAAAATTTCTCTATGGGGGATGGTTCTGATAATTATAATTTTGATACAGATTTTAATATGGATAAATAATCAAATGTTTTATATTAACTTTAAAAATAAATATTTTTTATTTCCATTGAATATGTTTATTAACTTAAAATCTATTTAAATAATTAATCTAATAGTTTCATTGTATATCACGAGAAGATATTACAATTTTGAGCTATATAACAGTTTACTTCACTACTTCACTGACAGATATTCTGTGATTTGTTAATTACGTAACATTGTAATTCTTTATATTATACAAAAAAAAATATATGTGTTTAGAAATTCAATTCTAGTAATTCAATAAAAAAAAAAAATGAATTTTTTTTTTTCTGAATTAACATTTTAAGTTATTAATAAACCCTCAAATACAGAGATCATTGTTGATAGTATTGATCTCCAACTAATAGTTAATTTTATGAGTGTATAATTTGAATCGCATAATTATGTGGAAAGGTTTAAGTAGTAGATCTTATTGGTGTTGGTTCTTGTCTCAAAATTTAAATTTTCAATATATGAAGGTTTGGCGTTTTTAAAATTGAACAAAATGTTATATTTTTTAAATATAGACGATAATTAGATAATAAACAATCAAAAATATGAAAACCAAAAAATTGTATATTTCGTCAATGAATTTTACACACATTAATTTTTCTATTAGAATCCAGGTTTTTTTTTTTTTTTTTTTTAATTAAAAACGAATTTTATTCTTATGTTAGCAGTTCGTAAAAAACATTGTTTTTTTAATGTAGAAGCATTGTTTGAAAAAATTGTCCTCATAATAAAAAACTTAATTGATTTACCTACATATTGACTACACTATTTTAATTAATATGTAGTTGTATTTGCTCGAAAAGTAAATAAATAAATAAACATATGTTATGAAGTTATAAATTTTTATGTTCCTCAATTTTTTATTATTTTTTTTTTGTTTTATATAATATTTATTCTTTGATAATAGAATAAAAATTATTATTTTTAATGATGTAATCGAAGTTAGCTGTATTTAAATAAATAAAAAAATATGTACTTCTAATCCGATCATTAAAAAAAGTTTGGTAAGTCCAAACGTGCTCGCCGTTGACATTCATTTTATAATAAAAAATAATCAATTAACTAAAAAATACTAAAAATTAAGATTTAATATCTTAAATCAAAATATTAATCATAATTTTTATAAATTACTAGCAAGTAATGTTTAGTTTAATAACTGACTTAAATTTTAATGAAATTTTAACTATTTTCAAGTTTTAAAGTTCCTTTTCAAATTTCCCGCAAATAGTCTCATTGCCAAATACGTTCCTTGCTTGCTGCAAAAATTATTATTAGAGTTGGTACCATTTGAAACTCTGAATAAAAACACACACTGACTCAAAATATTAAACTAAAAACTAAAAGCCGGCTGATTAAGATAAGAATCTACAACTCAAATGTAAACGTACATAGTGAAACTTCGAAAAAATTAGTGAAAATAGTATAACATCTAAGTATAACCTAAATTTTCCTGTCCTTATCATTAGGTTGCATTTATTTTCAATTATAGTAAGTAAAAATAATTATGTATGATAAAACATTTGAAAATTTTATAAAGTATTCAATAATTTGCTTTTCTAAAGTAATAGTTAGATAAGAACATTAAAAAAAAAAGTAGACACTTTTATTGTTTTGATTTTCTGTTATGTAAATCATTTTATTGCTGATCTTACTTGATATGATTTTATAATAAATATTTTTGTATTGCAGAATAATAACTCTACAAGCAATGCTTTTTGGAAAGATTTCGAGAGGATTGTTACTGAGACGTCAATTCAATTGTTGGACTGCAAATGTTACAAAAAAACATCGTAAAACTTATGAAAGAACATATCCAACTGTACTTGTGTATCCAAATGGTAGTACCATAAACATCCAGTATTTTGAACCAAGAAAAATAATCAAGTTACCATTGGATCTATCAGTTTTATCAGAGCAAGAACGTAAATTAATATTAGAAAGAAGAAAACCTAAAAGCAAAGTTAAAATTGAAGAGGAAGTTGAAGATGATTTTGATCAAAATAAATATTTGAGATTCGCCAGAAGATGAACATTTATTGTAATTTTCAAAAACTTGATTAGTTTATACTTATACATCCAAGTTTGTTAGTTACTACTATATTGCTGGTGATATTGTTTTGTGACATTTTTTTTTTTTTATGTTGAAAACCGGAAACGTTATTCTGTTGTCATGACATTCATTGTTAATGAAATAAGATTATAATTGATAATAAAATTCTTTTTATTTTCATAGATAGTATCAACACTTCCTCTTTCATAACAAATGTAATTATAAATGATAAATTTAAATCGACAAAAGTACTACATAGTTACATTTAAATTATACGTTTACAGTTATTAAGATATTATGATGATGACTTGATTAAATTTCTTTAAATTTTAATCCGGAAAGTCAAAAAAGTTTATTTTTTATTGTTTATTAGGTTTAGAAAATTTTCAGTTCTTCACTTTTTACTCAGAAATAATGATTTATAAAAATGTTTTCGCAACAACTATACGTCAAAAAGTTATAAAAATTTTAAATTATCTGTCAAAAACAATGACTCGTATAATCATTAAGATCACATCTAAATAGTGGCTAACCATGAGAGTAAAATATTTTGAATGAGCCAGGCCGATTGTATTTCAGCATGCATGACATTTTTTAACAAATTAAAAACACGAAGTTTGTGTGTAAGTTTATCTATGTAATTTTTACGTTCCACTAAAGTAACAAAACGGATAGGATTGAAATTGTTTTCAAAATAACTCTTTCCATTGAACCCAATTAATTTGTATTGTTAATTCTCCAAATACTAAACCTTTTGATCTTTAGAGTTTATCAAATTTAAAATTCTACAATATGTCGAATGTAACGAAAATGATAAATGTCGTTTTTTTTTTTATTTTTTTTATTTTTTTTTTTTTTTTTTAATATCGTAAAGGAATGAATTCAAACATTTAAATTGTTTATTATTGCCTTTAAATAATTCACAGCATACGTGTTTGCGTCGCGTTACTAATGTCACAAAGGCCTATGAAAAAAAAAATTTATTTCATTTTCTTACTACTTTAAAAATTCAACGTTTTGAACTTCTGGATATAACAATTGAAAATTTAAAAAATAACTCTTGAGATGCTATAACGTCAAAACGAAAAGAAAACAAAAACTTCATTTGTAAAAATCTAACTTTGAAATCTGAATTCTATAATTTTTCAAAAATTTTCAATTTTTATAGTCAGAAGTTAAAAACCTTGGATTTTTGTCAATAATAGTCTGAAAATCTAAATAAAATTTTTTCTTAAAGCCAAAAGGTATGTCAAAAAAAATTTTTTTTTCCTACAAGCTCTGCAAAACCAAAAAGACGTACAATTTAAGATACGCCTTTTTGACATTAGTATCTCAATGTATTCAAGATTTTTCTATCTAAGTCTATAAATTTCTAATTCTAATAAAATTATTTTAATAAATTTAATATTTCAATATCGTCATGACAATGTTCATTGCCATGAAAATCGTAGAAAATTATTGTATTTCATACTTTCTTAAAAAATATTTTATAATCCTATCGTCCTAATTGAATATGGAATTGTTTATAGTTTCTATAGTCTATTTTTTATATTTATATGTCTTCGGAGAAAATGAATTTTTATAGATTTTTAGAAACAGTAACTAAAAAAAAAGTTGAAAATATTTACATCCCATTATTATATATAGACCATTTCAATAGTATTTATTTTAAATTCCAGAATTAAGTACAGAAATGTTATAAACTAGACAAAAACAAATTGGACACGAAAAATATATAAACAGTAGTAAGTATCCACAATGTATTAATAGTAATTGACAATCAAATTTTAATCTAGCTGATTCGAAACCGTCCCATTTTTTTTTTTTTTTTTTAAGAATTAAAATTGAAGAATAGTCGATTTAAATCGTTTAAAACTTAAATATATTACAACTATAGATGCTGACTATATTTATTTTCATTTAGTACCTAATTGATCAGTATTCAATTTACGCCGAATAGAAGAATTCAGGGTCTATAATAGTTGAATGTACGTCTGATCAAAAATACAATCGAATTTTCTGAATGCTTTGTAAGTATTTTAAATTTAACTTGAATTGAAATTTATGTGAATCTTAATACCTGCTTAGATCTCGGTTGATCCTTATAGGTACATACAAATATAATGATTAAAGAAGAATATACAGGATTTTTTTTAGATATAATTACAACGACTTGGAAATTATTATCGTAAGATATGTATAAAAAGCATAATATTAAAAAGACATATATGTCTTCATATACTGTAGTTACGGCTATATAAAAAATTAAATGTGGGGTATTCCACGCCAAATCGGACAGTTTAAAAAAATTTTTTTTCATTTTTTCAATTTTTTTGACATTTCAAGTACATATCGGAAAACCATTCCGGAAAAATTTTGGGATTTTTTCATTGCCATTCAAATTAAAAAAAAAATTACTCGTTTCTCAGTTATCCCTAACAATGTCTTTAATAATAATTCAATTAATAATTTGTAAATATGTAGATATTGTTTAATTATTTGTAATAACATATATAATTACAATTAATAACTATAAAAATATTTAAATGTTCAAAATACTATTTAAAAGCTAAATAATATTTATGTAGTTTATTAATTAAGTAGGTTAAAAAGTTCTTTGATAAATGCTTTCTCATTCAACAAAAATATAACAATTAATTCAGAACGGTGTAAAAAAATAGATTACACTGTGTTAAAATTATACGGATGGAAATTTTACAATCGTATAGTGTTCTCAGAGTCGATTTTTACACTAAAATTTTTTGGAGTGTAGATAAATTGAGAGAAATTAATCATTCAAAAAACGCTAACTGATGCACTCTGCACGGACAAAAGTAAACTATAATAAATAACAGTCGATTTATAATAAGTATTGATCAACTGCTAAAAATTACCATTTCAAACAGTAAAATCGTGATTTTACTATTCATTTTATAATATTTACCATTTAAACGTTATAATTTACTCTTTACATGGAAGAAAATACTATTTCAAACAGTAATATTCGCTATGTAAATGTCTAAAATGTTAACGTATAATAATTAAGAATTCAGACTTTGATATTTATCATTTCGTACCTAAAAAATGATCTTATGATATGTAAAAAGTATAAAATAACGTTAGTAAATTTCTAATACAAGCAACGTCAATATTTACCAAGTAAAATGGTAAATTTTAAACGCAACGCTAAAAATCAAACTGTAATTATTGACTTGTTTGGACTGGTAAAATGTATATTTTAAAAGTATAATTTTTACTGTTTCAAATGTTAAATTCTCCCAGAGTGAGACCCCCTTCTCTTTCATCTGAGTTCCCCTTCTCCTCATAATATGAACTATATATTGAAATATTTCAATGGACCTATTTTCGTCCTTTCCCGCTTCACAGCATTATTTATATTTGTTAAAAATGCTAGCCGTAAGATGGACGGTGTGGCTTAATGTATATAGAATAAGTGAAAGGAAATTTAGTGTAGACCGGATAGCTCAAATGGTAGAGTAGCCGACATGTCTTCGGAAGGTTCTGGGTTCGAATCCCAGTCCGAGCTATCTAATAATTTTTTCTCGCATATTCTATACACTTTCCTACCAAAATATCCTGTTACGTGAATGTTGGAACGCTTCACGTAATAAATATTGGAAGCGAAAAATAGGTCTATACATTAAGCCACAAGGGACACGTAAAAAATGCCATATGGCAATTTTTACTGTTTGAAACTGTAATTTTTTAAGATGAAAGAGTCGTTATTTACTATCGTGACAGCTACTAATTACTTATTTTGGATATTAAATTATAAATTGTGGCTTTTATACTTTCTACATTAAGTTCTGTAATATTTATATTTTTGCCACCCCGATGTTCGCTTTACTGTTTGAAACTATAAAAATTAACCGGAATCGGAGTGAATATTACAGTTTACTTTTTTTCGTGTAAAAAGCAAAAAAATAAAGAATTATTAAATACTTTGACATATAGCATCATGTTATGAAAAATATACATCAAGTCAAGAAACGTAATTTAACGAATTCGCTCATAATCCAATTTTTCAAGTTTTTTAAGTAATACATCATTTTTCTTTATCTTAAGTACTTTTTTTTTGCATTTTAAACAAATGTTAGTCGAAGGTTTCTAAGTGGTTTGTTTTTTTCTCATTCCCAAGTGGCACAAATTTTTTTTTTGTTAATGTTTTGTTGAATTTAAGTTGACGATTATTAATTTTTTAACTTCTTGGTAAGTGAAATCTACCAAAAAGTCAACATTTTTTTTTGTGACGCTTGGGTTTCATCTGATTTTTAACTTCCCGCTAAGAAAATCGAAAATTTTCAAAAATCGGGAAGTTATTGTTTTCACCCCGTTTTGCACAAATCGAGTTTCCATCAGATCTCGACTTTTGAACTTGAAGGTCTCAGGAAGCTTCCCTGACTATCCTCACAAGGTTGTCACTATGTATGTATGTATTGTATGTATGTATGTGCGCGCGCGCGCGCGTGTGTGTGTGTGTGTATAAGTATGTGAATCGCTTATTCGCTCCGAGGGCAACAGGGCTAGCGCTTGAGGTGGCAATTTTTATAACTTCGCTCCCAGAAAATCCCATGTTATTTCCCATAAGACGCGACATCTGCGATAAAAATCGGAACTTCACTCCCACTCACGGATATACACAGACGCGTAATACACTCACATTTTCTGTGAGCGTATTAGTTGCCCTCGGAGCGAATAACTTTTGAACGACTAAACCGATCGGAACCAACCAAACGGTGTTCTAAAGAGATCCCTCAAACTTAAATTTCCTGAGAATTTGAACCGATTCGGACCGATAGATTTTGAGAAATTTTGAAAAATCTCGAAAAAAATCATTTTTGAAAGTGGTTTTTTTGGAATAACTTTTAAACGGCTCGATCGATCAACTCTAAAAACTAATTCGCCCTTAACCTTGAAAAACCACGTCGATCACCGCTAATCAGGTCCAAATCGGTTGA